GTTCATATTGGATTATAGGTTCATCCTATCTGATATAACTTTAACATAATTACATCTGCTATGACCCTATTTCCAAATAAGGTCACATTCTGAGGGACCAGCAATTAGAAATTTGTGATAGTTAATTTTATGAGTTAACTAGGCTAAAGGATATCCAGATAACTGGTAAAACATTATTTCTAACATATTCACTAGGATATTTAGGCAACAGTAAGCTGAATAAAGAAGATTCACCATCCCCAATGTAAGTAGATATCATCCATTGAGGGACCATATATAAGAAAAGGGTAGGGAAATGGTGAATTTTCTCTCTGTTCTGTTTTGTTTATTTTATTTGTTAATGGGATCTGAACCCAGGAGCACTTAACCACTGGGACACATCCTCAGCCCTTTTTATTTTTTCTTTTGATACAAGGTCTCAGTAGGTTGCTTAAGCCCTCCTTAACTGCTGAGGCTGGCCTCAAACTTGCAGTCCTACTGCCTTAGCCTCCCAAGTTGCTGTGATTATAGACATGTGCCACAACGTCCAGCTTCCTCTCTGATTTAGTCAGCTATTTCATCACTATGACTAAAAGACCCAACAAGAACAACTGTAGAGGAGGAAAATTTTATTTGAGATCTCACAGTTTCAGAGGTCTTTGTCCATTGAAGACTGGCTCCATTCTTTGGGGCTCAAGGTGAGGGAGAACATCATGGCGAAAGAGTGTGGCAGAGGGAAGCAGCTCACATGATCATGAAGCACAGAGACGGGGCTTCACTTGCAATATTACATATACCCCAGAGCCACACCCCCAATGCCGCACCTCCTCCAACCACACCCCACCTGCCTCCAGTCACTACTCAGTTAATCCCATCAGGGATCAATTCACTGATTATGTTAAGGGCATAGCCCAATCATTTCTCCTTCAATCTTGCATTTTCTCACATGTGAGCTTTTGGGGGACACCTCACATCCAAATCATAACACTCTGTGTTCTTGAGGTTAGACAATTTCTCTTCTTCTGCATTTGGATTTTGACACTTTGGTTTTTAGGCCGTCAGACTCAGATGAGGACTTATACCATCAGCTCCTCTCATTTTCAAGCTTTTGGGGTAAAATTGGCACTTTACCAAAAAAAGGCCTCCAGCTTACAGACAGAAGTTCATGGGACTTCTTATCTGTCATGGTCTCATCAGCCAATTCCTTAAAATAAATTTATCTATCTATCTATTCGTTCCATTTCTCTGGGAACACCTGACTAATATATTATTTAACATTCACTTTTATATACATTTTCACAAGATGGGACACAATTCCAACACTAACAAGTCCCCCACTCAGTTTTGAATTGTGAAGAACAGGAAGTCTGGGAGAGGAAGTAAAAGCAGGGTCAGTGTCTTAACATGCAGGTTGTGCCCTCTGTCAAATAAGTGCACTTTGGAACTAAAATGCATTGTGCTCCCCTCACCAAGCCCAAGATGCATTGAAGGATTCATAAGCCCAGAGTAGAGATGACTCTTCCTTAACTGGCACAAAATAACCCAGAGACAGGAATCTGATAAAAATAAAATAAAGCAAATGTTTTCATAGTGGGGTCCACAAGAGATAAGAGAAGATGCACTGGTGAAGAGATTAATCTTTACGAGCAAAAGAAATAATAATAAAACATTTTATTTTCCAGATAAAATGTTTCCTAATACGTAAGAACTCCAGGGTTGCCTGTTTCATCTCAGAAAAAGTAATCTCCTACGCAACTGCAGGTATAGAGCCCGAGGGAAAAAATCTCAGATGTCATAGGTTAGGGGATCACATCCTGAAAGTGCCTCCTTTTTGCTCATGGAGTAATCTATAGGCTAAGAAATAAAGGGACAGCTTGATTTCCCTTTAATGATTCTGAGATACAACTCTATGAACATCTTAATCACTAATTCCTAACATGGAACCGCTTCACGGTAAAAATATTATAGTTTATTTTCTTGATTTTTGAGACCTCTTCCATACTTCTCTTATAATAGTATAATGTGCTAATCAATTTGTTTATTGATACTTTCCTTTCCAATTAGACTGCAATACAGAATATTCTTTTTTCTTTGCATCTTCAAAGTTTGTTGTAATTAATGACACTTAGTAGATGCAACATTAGAGTTTGTTCTCTCTCCTGTTTCCCTTCCACTCCTTCCTCCTCCCCCTCATTCCTTCTTCTTCTCTCCCTTTCTCTTTATTTCTTAAAAATTCAACTAATTTTCTCAAGAACCCCATGATATAGATGCTGTTATTGCCTATACATTATAAAAAGAACACTGAGATTTAGCAAAGTGAAATATCTTGCCCAAAGTAACCCAACTAATAAATGATAGAGCCAGTCCTGATCCTCAGGCTGCCCATTAATGCCAGTGCTCTTTATAACTACAGAATGTGGAAAGTGTCCTTTAAGAGTTATTGGCAATTAGTTAATACTTAAGAGTATCATTCTGACTTCAGAAAAAATAAATTTATTTCCTTTCCTAATAACTGATATAAAATAAGATTTTCATTTTAATTGAGTGAGGAACCATGGCACCTATTCCTGTATCAATGGTCTCCAACTCAGTGACTGTTATCTATGGGTGCTCCATAAATTCATAGGAGCCAAATTATTGTTATTTATCTTTATGCTAGGGTTGTATAGGGCACATAGAGCAATGGGACCTTTCTAATATTCATCCCATATTCCCAACTGGGAATATAATTGCAGTACTCAATATACTTCATATAATAAGTTCTCATAACAATTGTTAGAATTAAGTATGATAATGACTTTTATGTATTAGAAAGGAAACTTGAACTTAGAAATGCTAAACAACTTGCCCAAGTGCACACAGCTAGTAAGCAGCAGGGCTGCAATTTAAACCCAGATTTCATCCTCCTCAGCCACTTTACATTTTTGTCAGTGTATACTGCTGAAAGATCAGCATTGTTTACGTAAGAGATTTTCAAATTCAAGTCATCAAAGAGTTCTAATTAAAACATTCACTCAGCTATGCCTGTAGGTTCATTGAAAATAGTTCACTTTTTATTTTCTAGATGCCACATCCCTGCGGATCATTTCTAATTCAGTCATCTCTTGCTTCTTGATGGAAGGTGCCATGGCTCATGGATTTTCACTAGGATAACCCCTTCTTTTCAATTTTACTGTGAAAATGAACCTTTCTGCCCCAACATGTGCAATATACATCACAAGTGGTGTTCCTTAAATGTTAATGCATCTCCTTTGGTCACATGTTGTTATTGAGTGGTCTCCATGGGCCCTACACCTCCTCTAGCTGGGAGGGCCTCATTTTCAGATACTGTAGTTACTGTAGTGTTCCTGCTGCCTGGCTGTGAATGTATGGTGGGGAGCAGGAGGGAGAGACATTGATCTGGCTCTACAACTGGAAACCCTTGCCATGGAAATTCAGGAAATAATTATTCAAATTAAAGGAACTGGCAAGATTGGAGGACTCGCTTAGCATTGCTTACCGTAATATAAGCAAAGCAACCCAATAGAAACAAACTTCAAAAACCTCATAAAGCTGTCATTTGGGAAGAAGCAAGTCTGGAAGAAAAGTGTCCTGAGGAATAGCACCAAGAGGGTAGGAACATCTCAGTCCTCTAGGAATGACCTTGGGAGTCAGCCACACTGCCTGCCTACTCTGAATCTGTTTGAAACTCTCTATATCCAGAGAAGAGCTGGAAAAAGTGCTAGAAACATCCTTCTCATTCCTCTACTCCTGCACAATCACTAATCTACCTTCAGATGCTTTGTTTAAGTACACAAGGAAATCAGGTATGTTCCGGTTTTCCACCAAATAATCACTTTCCTCCCTGGGCATTATATGAGTTCAGTATTTCCCCAGGAAGAAGGTCTCTACAGGAAAAAGACTTTCCTAGAATTGTAAAATATTACATCTTGAAAGATATATGGAAGATTACCTGATCCAACTCTTCATTTTTAGATGAGGAAACTGAAGTCCTTGATGAGAACATGAGTTGTTCAGGCCATACACAGGTGTGTTGTTTTTCTTATTGCATTTATATGAGGAAGGGAAATACATTGATAACCGTATGCCATTTGTTTGCCCAATTATAAATATAAAGTTACTGACAAATTGTAGAACAGAGTGGAAATATCTCTTCGACTATCCAGAGACACTTTGCAGTTCAGTTTGCTTATGGCCAACTGTGTATTTGAAAAGTTAGCAATTTAGATGTGTTACCTCCAGTCAAAACCAGGGTTAATCTCATTTACCAACAGTGACACTAAATGCATAGCTTGGATGTCACTGGCAGGGACTGCCACAAACTGGGCTAAATAACTCCCAACAACAGGTTAGAATATCCAACATAGGAAGGGACTTTTATCAGTGACAGTTCCATTAAACACCTCACTAAATCATATAAACACTGCAAATATAAAAATGCACATCTGAAATATGATGCCTTATTGTAGGTAATATTGGGGCTGAACCAGAAGACAGGGATGAAACTTTTTTGTGTGTGTCCCCATATATTCCCAGGGTCTCTTCAGTGACTTGCACTCAACCATTGACTGAAAAATGTATCGATGAATGAAAATATCTTCTTATTAAAGTGTGAACCTAAAAAGCTACACAAATCTGTTACCTCATATTTTCAATTCATTGAAATTTCCCTAATGCAATTAAAAGCCAACTTCATTTCCATGCAGATCAATATCTACAGAAAAAAAATTAAATTGAAAACTATGAATTTCCACTATGCCTGTGAATACATGTGACTTTCCAAATAATCCTGCCCTTCAGAAGCCTCTTCTTGAATTCGTAAGAACTTCAAGGTCTTAAAAAATGCTCATAGGCAAAACATCAAGAAGCCTCTCAAGCTATCTCAGAGGGAGTCTTCTGCTCCCACAAATAAAGTCACACATTCAGAAGTGCTTCCTGTTTTTTTCAGACACCTTGCCCACCAAGTGTGCATTCTGCAAAACACAAGCCCAACAGGAAGCTGCCTGCAAATTTAGGTAGCTTTTCTGACTCTCAAGGAAGTCTTGAATATACTTTCAGAGAAATGGCAGCACAAGCGGTAGTCATTTGGGAAGAAGCAAGTCTGGAAGAAAAGTATCCTGAAGAGTAGCACCAAGAGGGTAGGAACACTTTTTTTGTGAACATGCTGTCTCCATTTTACATTTTTAAACAAATAAATGTATTTCCTTTAGATTTTTGTTGCCTGGGGTAGAATTAGGGGAACTGATTGCAAATGGGTAGTGTTTGTGGTGTTTGTCATTTCTCCCATGATGAGGGAGAGGAAAGAGGAAAGCTAGGGTGGGGAGTCAGAAGGAGGCTGCACAGCTGGACTGTCCCAACGGAGCTCTGGGGGAGAATTACTCTAACAATCTATTTCTGGAAGCTCACAAGCCCTTTCTGAGATTTTACATCCATCCTGAAATAAGCAGGTAGAGCACTACTTATGTTGTGATAATATCACAGCAAGCTTTAATGGAATGATTCTAGGAGATTTCTCCTTCACATGGTCACAGGTGGACTGGTTGTAATGGGAATGGCAGGACTCTGCACTCACTTTTCAAAGCAATTTAGAGTAGTTCAGGGTGATGAGTGCCAAATCACACGTCATAGATCTTGAACAATCTTGGGTAATAGCTTGATTTTTGAATAATAAAATTAATAATGGTGAAACTGGCAATTTCTAATAACAGTTTGGTTTAGTTCCCAGTATCTAGCCTTATATTTGCTTTGGTTTCATTCCATTTTTCCCAGTCCATATTGCCAAATTAAGTGAAATTGTGTAAATATTTTTGTTTTTTAAATTAAAATTCACAAAGTTAACTGGTACAAGAGCTCATGGTAAAATTTTTCTCTTCTAGGATTCAAATAAATATCTGCACTGGTCAGAAATGGTTCATGTAAACCCTAAACAAGATCATCCTTAAAGATTAATTAAGGGAATGATGTTAACAGCCATTAATGTAATTTTATTTGTATAAAAGAGAGACACCTGATCATCTTATATGACAAATGGAAACTTTCTAACCCCTTTTCTAAGAAAGTTTATATATCTAAGGTTTGCGAACATTAATGATTTTCTTAAACTGTAATATCTGTCTACACAAGTGTTTATTCTTCTTCCTCTTACCTTGTATGATTTGGTAACATTGTGTGTGAATATCTGTCGAGGATACAGTGTTCTCATGCTACAGATTTAAACAAGTCCCATTGCTGAAGGAATATCCTCATCCTCTTAGGCACACACATAGCATAGTAAAAAGGTCACCAAATAACAACAAAGGAGGGCTGAAGTCTATCTTGGTTCTGTCTTTTACTCATTTTCTGAGTTTCCATTTTCTCATTAGCAAAATAAAGTAATTGGATTGGGTATTCTGTGAAACCTCCTCTGGTTTTAAAATGCACAGGTTCATAGGCTTCAGGAGACCTGGAATAAAAGAAGCTCATACTCAGTGGCAGATGTGTCCTTATAAGGTTCTGAGAAAAAAGAGACTGAAGTGCTGGAGCAATTGAGAAACCTTCTGTGGGGCTGCCATGTGTACAGGACCTAGAATACATAACCTGAGAAGGAAGAGATGAGGGGCAGGAGTTCACAGGGCATGTGGAGGAGACCATGGAAGGCTTAAAAATGGCTAGATCTAAATAGAGCCCCTGGCACACATCTGAGTGCTAAAGAAATTCTGTTCCTTATTTCCTTGAAGAGGATAATAATGGTCATTGCAGAAAGTTTTAGTAGCTGAGACTGATGATGTAATGAGCAGTTTCCTGAGGGGAAAGCCATGAAGGTGAACTGGATTTTAAACATAGAACACTGGTCAAAGGCTCTTTGACTGTTCCATATAGGGGAGTTCCCAGTTTGTACTGCCTAGTGCAACTAAGTATCGAATAAGATATGATACTTCTGAGTCCCAATTAAGGCTTTCTTCAAATTCAAGTGCCAAGGCATAAGGTCAACCTGTAGAAACATTCCAAACATTCCAGCCAAACCTTTGTCCCTGAGCAAAAATGGAAGTGGGTTTCCAGGCCTGAATGGAAGCTACAAGAAAGTTCAAACTCAAGGATTGATAGAACTGTACTTTTCTAGGACCTGTTTAGCACAGATTTTTGACGAATAGTACTGGGTACTTTTTCAATACCTTATTAGCATAAGTATTGATCATTGCTCCTACTCAGTTACTATATAAATCCCTAGACTATACACTTAAGCAGCAACCTAGTATTTGGTCCCCTCTCACTCTGGGAGCATTCTTTCTCTTAACATTTAAATAAATCCTATTCTTTTTACTCTTACCATTCTTATTGTCCATGGATTTCATTTTTTTTTAATTCACAAGCAAACACCTTGGAAAGAAATTGGTAGTGAGCTCCTAGAGTCTGCTGCAGCACTGGAGGGTATGGCCTTGCATTGAGAGCTGCCATATGTCACTTGATAGTAGTGGAAAAGTTGTCACTTTGCCTGCAACCCAAATGGACTTTCTCAGTTATAGAGGCCTGCAGCTCATATAGACCTCACTTCAGCAAAAGAGGAGAATCCAATTTCATCTCAAACTCCAGTTTTGCTGTAACCATATTCCACAATTTTAAATTGTTAACTTCTTTTGTTTTTCCCCAGGTCAATTAGTTTATTTTAGACATTTTACAAACATCCCCAAGTGATTCAAATTTGTTGTCAAAATTAAGTCATTGCTCTGATTGTGGCATCAACATTTATCTCCTAATGAAAACCCAAATGATGATCAGAAAGATGCCTGGTTTATCTCAACAATCAAAAAAAAATTGAGAAACTCTGAGAGTTTTAGTATTTCCAAAATCATATAAGTTGCTTATTATATACTTAATCTTCAGTGAATCCAAGATTAATAGGACACATTAATAATAATGTAAGTGGAAAGATAGGACAAGTACTATTTTTAAAACATTGATTTTTTTTTAATGAGGTGATATTGGCTGGTGGAAAAATAAATTGTTAACTTCTTAAAAACATTCACAAAATAAAACTTTCTGAAATAAACCTGTGCAACAATAAGGATATTAAGGCCATTTGTCCTTAGCTGGGGAGGGAGACACTAAAGATACCTTGACACTATCCACCAAGAGAGTAGCAGCTTTCTATTTTCAAGAGCATCTGCACAACTTCTGATTGTCCTTTGGCCTCTTTCTCTTACCCAGGTCCCTCTGTTCCTGCATGGTCCCTCTTGCCTCCAGTCCAACTCTAGCACCATGGCCAGCTATTTCTAGATGCTTGTCCCAGCTTTCTAGTGCCAATTACTTTTTTGTTCATCTGCTGTTTTTTGCTCCCAAGTTTACTCTTAAGCTCCTAGAAGTTTAGTAGAACATTGAAACTGTGCTTTGTCCCCCACAAATACATATATATATATATATATATATATATATATATATATATATATATCTTGATTATCTTGATTAGACATTACTGAGAATACTTTGTTGAAAAAAATTATTCTGTAAGCATTATCTTAAAATTATACTACCATAAATTTTCTTTTCTTTAAATTCTTAATGCTTTACCTTTTGCTCTCTAAAGATACCTTATATACCATATCCTATACTGAGGATATTGAGGATTTTGATTTTAGCTCATGCAAATTCCTTCAACTTTTCCCACCATTATGTCTCATATTTGTTCTGTACACCCATGTCCTCACTCAGCTGGCATGTAAGAAGTGTTTATCATGACCCAGATCCCTATATATGTTATCTCTTAATCTTTTCAATAATCATATAAGGTAAATATTTTACAGATGTTTAAGGTGCATTCCCAGATCACTAAACCAGTAAAGAAAGAAACATGTTTTGAATTTATGTAGTCTCAGTCCAGAGCATGCTTTTGTTCTTGTAGCCCTGGGTACATATTATTTTGTGTGTGTGTGTATGTGTGTGTATTTATACATACACACACATATATGTGTATGTATGTGTGTATATATACACACACACACATATATGCACCCACACACTGTATGTGTGTGTGTATATATATATATATATATATATATATATATATATATATATACAGAACTGTGTGTGTGTATATACAGAAATGTTGTGTATTTGTGTGTGCATATACAGTTCTGCTCATGTAACCCATACTTGGCTTTTCTCAACTCTACTCACACTTCAATGACCAGCTGAAGACTTCTCTGTGACCAGATGGTCTAGGGTAGCCTTACTAACATGTCTGCAATTGGCCTGATATCCGCCAGGATGACAGAGGTAGTTAGGCCATGGGTCACTCATCACTCAGATGTCTTGTTTTGGTCTGTTCATGTTGTGGTGATTGCAGGATTCCCAAAAGCCACAAAAAAGAGCAAGACTCTATAAAGCTCTGTTTGCATCAGACTTGTTAACCTCCCTCTAGTCAAGCAAAGTTACATTCAAGTCTAGTATTGCCCAATGGTACAAAAGAAAGGAGGCCATACTAAAAACCCACAGGACTTTAGATGTTGTTTATGGACAACTCCTTCTATTTGGTTTCTCCTATTCCACTGAGGGCTTCCCATTAATCTACCAATTTGGTGAAGTTGCCCTGTTCTAGAAATCTTCCCTCAATCCTGTTATCCCCTGAGGTACTATGTAGTTGCGTCTATCAATGTCAGGGATTAACTGAAAAGCTTTCATGGAAATAGCAATAATATTTGGGGTGCTTGGCCCTGTACCCAGAACCTCCTACATACTAAGAATGCACTCTACCACTGAGCTACACACTAAGCTCCAACCATAATAATTTTAAAATAACTGAAATGGTTAAGGTGTACAGTAACCACAGCAATTGTATAGAAATTAGACAAAATATGGAAGATAGTTTGTGGTAGTTTATAAATGCTGCTATATAGCAAAAATAAGGGAACAGACTTTTGCCTATTATGTTTTTGTATTATATTTTGAATTCTCTGCACTCAAGACTCCCAGTGACCTATGCCTGAAGGGGGCATTCTTACTACCATTCCCTGGTCACCAGTCCTACAAAGTCTATGTCTCTTTCTGAGCCTTAGGAGGGATACAGGAAATTTTGAACTTAAAGTTATATTTTTAATCTATATCTCATTTTTAAAAGATAAAAAACCACACATTTTAAAACATCTTTTTTCATTATCTGGCTCACCAAATTTCTGTTTAGTATTGGGACATAATGATCAACATAGGGACTCTGAAGCCAGTTTTCAGGGTTTAAATTTCAGCTAGGCAAGTTACTTGGCCTCTTAGTGTTTCTATTTCCTCCTTTGGGAAGTGGTGATAGTAATAGTACATACCTCATAGGGTTTGGGGGAGAACATTAAATGAATCAGTACAGGTGGTATTTAGAAATTTGTGTGACACAAAGTAAACACTCAAAATCCAGCCATGCTCAATAACTCTGGGTTTTTAAGATCATGTTCTCCAAGCTCTATACTCCTTACTCTGTAGGCTACAAAGGCATCTTCGGTCTTTCTTCTTTTTTATTCTAATTGTCACTTGCTAGTTCATTCATTAGTGCTTGATTGCAAAATTATAATAGTCTCCTAGTTCTCCTATGCTTAATTCATTCCTACTTTCAGTAAATGTTTACTTACAAGTCAACTAGGCACCAGGCACTATTCCAGATGGAAACCAATGAACCTTTGAGAACTTATCACCTAGCAAGGGAAGATGGATTCATGAGCAAGGAAACGTAATACACTTTGAAGATGCTGTGAGAGGAAAGTCCCTGCAGAGTACAGAGCAAAGGAGAAGAAGTCAAAAATTCCTCCTGATGGAAGAAGCAATGGAAAATAGGGCAAATTAGCATGGGGTCTGGACTCAGAACAACCTGGATTACAATTCAAATACTGTCACTTCTGAGTTCCAGAACCTTTGAACACTAGTTTGTTTGTAATATAAAATACTTCAATAATAAAGAAACATATTTAGAATAAAATAATAACCATGTGCTTATAGTTGAACTTTGATAATGTTTAATTTCTCATAGATGTTTCAAATTTTTTAAAATAAATAATACATTAATAATAGAGTTAAAACAAATTGTATACTACTTCTTTGCTTAATTCTGTTCCTCCTCCTCTTTCTTTCCAGGAGCAGACAGATTTTTAATTTTACATTTATCACTTCTATAGTGTTTCTCTATTTATGCTCCATAGAGAACTACAAATAATATAAAGCAATATTCCTATTGTTTTATGTTCTAAAACTTTTTATAAATGGTATCATATTTGTGTGTCTTTTCATATCTTGTTTTGATCATTCAACATAGATTGTTGAAGTTTATTCATGGTGATACAGAATATTTTCATTTATTTATTTTTATTCCCATACAGTAAAATATACCATAGAACAATTATTCCAAAATTTGTCAGTCTGTTTTCTTGTTAATGGACTCTAGAGTTGCTTGCTATAGTTCTCTATAGTTAACAATGTTGCAATGATACCCTTGCATGTGTTTCCCTGTACATACAGGAAACTTTCCCTGGGATCCACCTTGCAGCATCTATTTCTTGAGCTTTACCAGATACAGCAGAGTTGCTCTGTATTTTCCCATCACTTTTTGAGAGTTTAAATTTATTCACATCTTTTCTCACACACAGTATTTTGATCACCTTTTTATATGATAGGTATAAAAGAGTATATTATTTTAATTTGCCTCTCCATGCTGTAAAAGCCTTTTCTGCTCCATTGTATAGAATACTGAGTGGAATCTTTTTTTTCTTTTTTAAATCCCTTTTGCTAGGCACACCAGTCTAATTTCTCTTAGTACTAATATAATACTTTTAGTTTATAATTTTATTATTAGTAGTATTCAGTATATGATACTTTCAGTTTATATAATACTTTTAATTTATAATTAGTTTTATAATACTAATATAATACTTTTAGTTCATGATATTTGGGCTGCCAAATTAGTCACCTTTTTTTCTCTGAGAAAATATATTTCACAGCAGGAATTTACATTGTAGGGTAACAGAGAAAGATACCTTATTGAAAAGTAGAAGTAATATTGCCACCATTGAGGTTCAAGTAGAAGTAATAGTACCACCATTAAGGTTCAAGAAAAATTCCTTGATTTTTCCCTTCTGTTTTCCCACTAGTAGCCATGAGCAGACACAATACCACATGTAAAGTTATATGTGGAATGTTGATTATTGGTTTGAGAAAATAAAATCATGAAAAATCTAACAAGAATGTATTCTTTTCACTTTCCTACCCTTGTATAGTGGTTAGAGTTTTCAGACACAAACAGGTGCACATTGGACTTGAATTACTTTGATAAAGCTCAACTAAGCATCTAGGTTCTAGGTTCTGG